CATTCCGATTTCAGAGAGTATATTCGATGAGAAGTTGGCAGATATTTATGTGCGAGAGGTGGTGGCCAGACACAGGGTGCCGGTGTTGGTAGTCTCTGACCGGGATGTTCGGTTTTCATCTAGATTTTGGAAAAAGTTCCACGAAGAACTAGACACTCAGCTACATTTTATCACGGCATACCACCCCCGGGAAGTAGTGCTCAAGACTATCGGGCTTATTCAACAGGTGCGCGACCGTTTGTGGGTCGCGCAGAGCCGTCAAAAGAGCTATGCCGATCGGTGGAGATCGGATCTTGAATTCCAAGTGGGGGATTTCATATTGCTAAAAGTATCGCTATGGAAAGGGATTATCAGGTTTCGGAAGAGGGGCAAGCTAGGGCCCCGATATATTGGACCATTCAGGATTTCGGCCCGGGTGGGCAAAGTAGCTTACCGCTTGGATTTGCCGGATGAGCTTAGCCAGATACACAACACCTTCCACGTGTTGCAACTTCGGAAGTGTGTCACGGACGAGGCCACGGTCGTCTCGCTGGGTGACATTCAGGTGGATGAGAGCCTAAACTATATTCAGAAGCCCGTTGCGATTCTTGATAGGAAGACCAAGGTTCTTCGGAATAAGGAAGTAAGGCTGGTAAAGGTGCAATGGCAGAATCGAAGGGGCTCCGAATGGACCTGGGAGCTGGAAGAGGAGATGCGAGAGCACTACCTGGATTTGTTTGGGTCAGTAGACTTCAAGGACGAAGTCTAGTTCAAGTGGGGGAGACTTGTAACACTTGTTCCAGGTATTATCTGATTTAAGTAATTTTTGGGGATTTTGTGCATGGACTCGACGAGTTGGGAGTCCAACTCGTCGAGTAGGGGCATTAAATCATGGATGTAGATCGGGACCTACTCGGCGAGTCGGAAGGCCCGACTCGGCGAGTAGGATCTGTAAGAGGAAACCCTAGTTTTTAGGGTTTGCACCCTATATAAGGATCATTATCTGCCCTTGTGGCCTCCCTTAGAATCTTATTAGCCCTGAGAAGAACATTTTCGGCCGTGAACGTTCTTGTTTGAGAGTGAGAGCCTTTGTGAGCAATTCTTGGGGTTTTTGGAAAGGATTTCAAAGTTTGAAGAGGAAGGGTCAAGGGAGAAGCAGTAGATCGAGCATCTACTCCGTTTTGGCCATCTTATTGAGGTATAAATTCGTTATCTTGAGCTGTAGATTTTAGATCTCTTTCTTGGAAGAAAATGGCCATTCTTGAGGCAAAATGGAGTCAAGCTTGGATCTGGACCTATCACAAGCATGTGGTTCCAGATCTGGACCTCCTTAGGTCCTCAATGTCATAAAGTTACTTCCTTTATGTAGCTTAACCCCTTTCCATGCATTAAAACCTTGTATAAAGACTAGTTTTGGTGTTTTGGCCTTGTGAGCCTTGTATGTACGTAAAGTTTGCAACTTTACGTGGTATCTATGCTAGGGAAGCATGGATCTAGAATTTGGGACCTTAGATCCCACTAAAAAGGACCGAACTTGGGAAGGACTGAAGGAACTCGTCGAATCCCTTGGCCGAATCGACGAGTCAAGCAGGGTTTGCTCGTTTTCAGTTGGCTGAGTTTTGGGTTTGCATGAGTTTACGGTTGGCTGAGTTTTCGGTTAGCAGGAGTTTTCGGTCTCAAGGGTTTTCGGAGGGACTCGACGAGTTACACAGGTAACTCGACGAGTACATGAGTCACACAAAGAACTCGGCGAGTCACTGGATGTACTCGACGAGTCACTGGATGTACTCGACGAGTAGAGGTCAACATGGACTGTTGACCTTGACCGTTGACCAGGGTTGTCCGGGGTTGACCTTGAGGGTATTTATGGGATTGTGACAAGTTAATCATATGTTGATTATAGGAAGTTGAGGAGGAGCAGTGCGTAGCATATATCTAATTCAAGTTTGACAAGTCAGCATTCGAGAGGTGAGTCTTCTCACCATACCCATTGGTCTAAGGCACCAAGGCCGACCCATGTTATGATACTTGTAATTATCGGTTTACTATGTGTGCTATGTTGGCGTAATTTTATCTGGAAGACCATGTGGGGGTTCCCATGGCAGGAAAACCATGTGGGGGTTCCCATGGCATGTAATAAGACAACATGGGGGTTCCAGTGGCACTAGGTGTAAGACCTTGGAGGGTTTCCATGACCTCCTTATATGTTGTATGCATGACCTATGTGGTATATGTAGCTTTTGTAGCTAATATGATATGTGTTATGTGGATTGCGGGTGGGGTATGCTCTGGGGGACTCACTAAGCATTAGCTTACAGTTTTTAGATTTGTTTCAGGTACATCTGACCCCAAGGGCAAGGGCAAGGCTTGATGAGCGGCGTGCACTCTCTCTCAGGATTTTCGATGGGACACTCTGATGTTTGAAAAAATTTTCATAATGGCTTTTAATTTGAAAACAATTGTAATGAGGTTTCTTGATTTATGGTGAAGTGTGTTGTCTATTTAAAAATGAAAATTTTCTTTTGAAAAATTGGGTTGTTACAAAAATACACAGAATCGGTTCGCATAGCAGCTTTGGATTTGCGACAGAAGGCCAGGGTGAAGTGGGTTACGGATGGAGACGAAAATACGCGATTTTTCCACGATTTTGTTAACACTAAATCAAGGAAAAATAACATTTACGGTCTCAAAATCGATAATTGTTGGATTTCGGAACCGGCTGTTATCCAAGACGAGATGTATAAGTTCTTCTCGGCCAAGTTCATGGAGTGTTGGCCCTCGTGACCAAAAATTAGAAGTTTGAGATTTCAGAAACTTTCGAGCTTGAATAAGGAAATGTTGTAAGATGAAATTAATATGGGGGAAATAAAGTCAGTCGTATAGGCTTGTGGTGATGATCGGGTTCCCAGGCCTGACGGTTTTACTTTAAAGTTCTTGAAAAAATATTGGCTGGTGCTAAAAGATGATATTTTTGCACATGTAAAACAATTTGAAAGTTGTGGCAAGTTCTCAAGGGGAATCAACTCCTCGGTTATTTCACTTGCGGCTAAGGTTAATGACCCACTAAGCCTCTCCGACTATAGGCCAATTAGCCTAATTGGATCGATGTACAAAATCGTTGCGAAAATCCTCTCAACCCAAATTAAAAGTGTCATTGGTAGTTGCATTTGGGTGGAACAATCCACATTTATTAAAGGAAGGAACATTCTTGAAGGTCCTTTAATTGTAAATGAGTTATGCACTTAGGTGAAGAAAAGAGGTAAACAAATGCTACTATTCAAGGTGGATTTCAACAAGGCATTCGACTCGGTCAATTGGGATTATCTTGACTCGATTATGGAACAAATGATGTTTGGGAATAAATGGAGAGGATGGATTAGAGGTTGTTTGGAATCCGCAAGAGCCTCAGTCATTGTCAATGGTAGTCCCACCGCGGAGTTCCCAATGTCAAAAGGGTTGAGACAAGGCGACCCATTATCTCCATACTTGTTTAATATTGTAATGAAGGGGCTCAACATCACAATGAAGGAGGCGATTTCAAAAGGAATATTTGAAGGTATCTTGATTCTAACACAAACATGGTTGTTTCTCATCTATTTTACGTGGACGATGCCTTGTTCTTGGGTGAATGGTCAATGAGAAACATAACAAACCTTGCTAGAATTCTTAGATGCTTCCATGTGTCATCTGGCCTCAAAGTAAATTTTGACAAGTCTCGGGTATTTGGTGTGGGTGCAAATATCAACGAGGTTGAAATTTGGGCTCTCCCTCTTGGCTGTGATTCGGCTTCCTTACCATTCACATATCTTGGGGTTCCTGTGGGAGCTAATATGAACCTCAAGCGACCATGGAAACCGATAATCGATATAATTAAGTCAAAACTTTCCTTGTGGAATGCTAACACTTTAAGCTTCGGTGGCCGTTTAACATTGGCAAAATCGATGCTCGATAATCTCCCAAACTTCTTCCTCTCAATATTCTTGGCTCCAATCGGTGTTGTGGAAGAAATCGATAAAATAAGGAGGTGCTTCATATGGAAACGTTCTCAAAACAGTAGAAGTATTCACTGGATTCACTTGGAAAAAATCCTTGCCCCAAGAGATGTTGGTGGACTAGGATTAGGCTCTATTAGAACTCTGAACTTAATTGTGATGGCAAAATGGATTTGGAGATTAAAGACAGATCAAAATTCACTATGGGCCCAGGTGGTTAGTGGGCTTCACAATTTAAATCAATTGGTGTGGCCTGGCGATTCAACACTTCGAGTCCGTGAAGGAGATCGTGACATTTGCGTGCAAACATGGACAAAATCGAAAGAAGCAAAAGGTGTTATGCAATATCATTTTTGGTGCTTTATGGTGCATTTGGAGAGCCTGTAATGAAATGGTATTCAAAGGAGTTAAGATCTCGCTGGCGGCTATTGTTGATATAGCAAAACATATGGTTTTCGTATAGTTGAAACACAGATCATCAAAAGGGAGTTTTGATTGGAAGTCTTGGATTTCTTCCCCCCTTAATTGTTTGTAAATATTTTCTATTTTCTATTCTTGTACTCCTTGTTATCACTAGTTACTTGCTAGTGGTAACTTTTTAATATAGTTGCCGGTTAAAAAAAAAAAATCTCGTTGCTTATGTTTCACTAAAATTTAAGGCTCATGAGATAAAATAAAGAGAATATTTCTCTCGAATGGTAATTTAATAAATATATTACATCTTATAATAAATAATTTAAAATTATAAAAAAAATTATAAAAAAAAATTATAACATAACCATCTCACATGACTTTTCTTGATTGTAGAAGTCAAATTATTGACTTTCTCTATTAGAGGATTTAACTATAATTAAAAATTTTCGATCATATCCAAGTACAAAATTAATGTGTCAAACATCAAAGAAATTCCCATCTCTTTTTCATGGGTTTAAAATACTAACTGAAAATTTTGAACATAAGAAAAAAACCCATATAAATAGAAGTTATAAATTTGGTAAACATGTCTCAAGCTTTCAACGTGGTATTTATATGGCTTCTACACCCTTTCTTCCCTTTGCATGCGTCTTCTTTCTTGTTTACCTTGTGCTACCAGTTCTTTCCCATGTGCACTACCCTGATCATTTAAAACCAAATGGGTTATCGAGTAATAACACGACCCCATCACCTTTTAAATTTCTTAAAGCCATGCAAGGATGTCGTAAGGGCGAGAAACTGAAGGGCGTCCGTGATCTAAAACTCTATCTTGCTCATTTCGGGTACTTCAACTACCAGAAAAACCCTAATAATGTAACAGATCTTGAAGAAGATAATTTTGACGAGGAGCTCGAAGCAGCCGTCAAGTCTTATCAGGTCTACTATCATCTGAATGCCACTGGGAGGCTGGATGGGCCAACGGTGTCCCAGATGGTGATGCCTCGTTGTGGGTTTCCCGATAAAGAAACTCAGCATAACCATAACACCAATAATTCTTTACATACAATCTCCCATTACCGATTCTTTCCAGGAAGACGAAAATGGCCCACGGGTAAAAAGCATCTAACTTATGGTTTTGGATCCCGTTTCCCAAGAAGATTCATTCCTCCTGTTGCTCAAGCTTTTAGGACATGGGCTAATGCTTCTGGGTACTTTACGTTTTCAAGAGCAATAACTTATCAGGGTGCTGACCTAAAGATTAGTTTTCAACGTGGATCTCATGGAGATATCAGGGCATTTGACGGACCTGGTGGAGTGTTGGCCCATGCTTTTGCACCTACAAATGGAATATTTCATTTCGACGCTGATGATTCTTGGGTTATTGGAGCAGTGCCTAATGCTTTTGATGTAGAGACTTTGGCGTTACACGAAATAGGACACCTACTTGGGCTAGATCATAGTGGATTTGAGAACGCGATAATGTGGGGTAGTTTCACTGCAGGTGTAACAAAAGAATTGAACTCGGACGACATTGAAGGGATCAGGGATCTATATGGTGTTTAGATTGTTGTATGTGCTTCTAAGTGTTTTAGGTGTGCTTGTAAATAAGAAGTGTGCTTGTTAAGACATGTCCATATAATAATTTCGAAGTAGGTGGGTTACTTTGTGTGATTGGTTGTTTATTTAGTTATTTATTTATTTTGTTGAACGTTTCCGCTTAAAACTGGAATGTCAACGTTTCAATAAATATATGTTTGTTTATATTTTTATTTATCTTAAAAAATTCTATTACCGTATGCAATGTATTGTACTTTTCCTTTTATATATATATATATATATATATATATATATATATATATATATATATATATATATATACACACTAGCCGTTTACCCGCGCCAAGCGACGGGTGTGAATAGTTTTTACGAAAATTAGTTTCTAGAGGCGATTTGTTTTTTGGATTTCAAATATAAGTATGTTTTTGTTTTGATTTAAAGTTATATGTATGTTGCTATTTTGTGTTAAAACTAATTTTCCTGATTAAAAAAGCATAGTTGATTGTCTTATTGGGTAAATTGTTTTCTTTATGAGAATCGTTTTCCTCAATTAGTGCTATCAAATTGGGGTGTCCTGTCGTGTTTTAGTCCGACAGGACATGACACGATAACTTGTTTTTTTACATTGACATGAAACGAACCAATTAAAATATGACAAACATGACACAACACGGTAATAATAACATAAAATAACCAATTGAAATAGCGTTATTAAGAGTTATGCTAACTAATATAAAATCAATAAAAATTAAAAATGAAAAGTTTGGATTCTTTACAAATGCAAATGAAAACATGATTGATTGTGCATTATTGATCATGCAGCACTTCTTTATACACCACATTTACAGTACATACTCCACTACCATTGAATTGTTCATCAGGGATCACTAATACTTTTGTGTTCCCACGTGATACCCCTCTGGATAATGCCACATAAAGCTGTCCGTGCGAGAAAACCGATTCTGGAAGATAAATTCCTACATTTGGAATTGTTTGTCTCTGGGCCTTATTGATTGTCATTGCGAAACATAATCGGATTGGAAACTGTTTTCTCTTTAGCTTGAACGGGAACATGTCATCTTCAGACGGACATAGAGGAATCCTTGGCCAAAAAACTCTCTTTCCAGCATGCTGACCAACAGCTATTTCAGCATCTATTACATTTTGTTGAAAACCTTTACATATCAACCGGGTGCCGTTACACAATCCATTTAATGGGTCGAGATTCCGTAACAGTATTATCGAGCATCCAACTTTCAGTCGTAGGTAATGAGGGGGTAAACCACTAACACTGAGTGTGTTCAAGAATTCCACAGGATATAAGTTATTTATATCGTCTTCAGCTTCATCAAAACTGTAGTAAATTTTCTCTTCTCCATGGAATCGGCCGATCAATAAATCATTAATCTCATCGACACTATCATTTCTTGTGGATAATATTGCACGCGAAATAATATAATCGGTTTGAGATCTATTAATTTCCAAGGATGGAAAGATTGCATCAATCAAAGCATTCAATGACTTTTCTTTTTTAATGAAGGGAATTACCATATCATCAGGGATGCGAATAAAGTTTCCTTGCACTGTTTCTTCAACTCCATCACCGACACGTAATAGAAAGTCTGAGAACCATGGATCGGTTAGTGCTCTCATATTTATAGTTAACCGCAACTTGATAATCGAAGACCAAAGAGGCGACATTCGTATGCTAGAATCCACAGTCTGTGCTCGTGTTCCACGTCTAACGACAGGCAAAACCTGTCTGAAATCACCTCCCAAAACCATTATCTTTCCACCAAATGGGAGCATCACCCCAGTGATATCTTTCAATGTTCGGTCCACCGCCTCCAACGCATGTCTTTTAGCCATCGACGCTTCATCACATATGATTACTTTTGCAGTCCGAAGCAGTTGAGCAGTGCCACTTTGTCTTGAAATCTTGCAGACCGAGTTATTTTCCAGATTAATAAGAAGTTTAAAGCGAGAGTGAGTTGTTCTTCCCCCAGGCATGTTATTAGCCGCAACACCCGATGAAGCGGTCGCCAGTGCAATATGACCACACGAACGAATATTAGCAAATAAAGCTTTGTACAAAAATGTTTTCCCTGTTCCTCCGGGACCGTCTATGAAGAAAACTCCTAGAATATTACTATGGACATGCCGCATTATCTCATCATACGCAAATTTTTGTTCAGGATTGAGAAATTCTCGGGCTTGTAAATGTTCCGATTCTAAAACAATAGAGCATTCCTCTTGTACCTCACGAAAAACTCCAAATTCTAAATCGACATTTTCATTTATCTTTGGAAGATCAAAACCATCAATGTTGTCACTCATAGATTGTAGGAATACCTTGATGTCGGTGAGGACCATATTTTGGACTCTCTCAACACTTCCATATTGTCGCCTATAATCTTCCGAAAGAGCATTGTAGTGGTAATCCCATAACTTACGAACATCTCCTGGCTCACAAAAAGTCAATATCGTTGCAAACATCCTTCTAAGAGCAATAGGAGCTTGAAATAAAGATGCCTCTGTAAGACATTGTGATAAACCATCATCAGACTCTATTAACCCTCTTTCAAGAGCTGCTTTCCGAAATGTTGGGTGTTGTACATTGTTGACTGTGTAGAGATCTTCAAAATACGTAGGCCCACTAATATGCAATAAAAGTAGGCGAAGGTAGTATCGCTCCCCTTCAGCGGGGTTGGCAGAAACCATACGACCCCGCATTAATCCTTGTTTTCGATGATGCCAACGACGTGAGCTCGGATCCCACGTAAGTTTTTTTGGAAAATCTCTATATTTTATCTCTCTCGCACTGGTATCTTCTTTATTTTTTAGAAAAAAAGCAGTCAACATTGATCTCCTATCTTTCTCCTTCTCAACAACGCTTGTCAGCGTATCATCCTCACTGAACCTAACCATCTGCTGATTTGGGAGATGCACCTGCAAAGCCATCACAAAAGGGTAGATCTGAGAAAGAGGGAAGCTAAAAATCCTCCACATGGCCTCTGGAGGTGAGACATATCGTGCATCCTGAAATCGTTTTATCTCATTAATAGCGACAGATTGTCCATCCGGACCAATATTGATAACTTGTTTGTCATGACCCTTGTAAATATACTTAAAAACATATTTCACAGAGGTTATACTCGAGCAGACCTCAACATTCAAATGACAATTAAACATCATTAACAACTTTGGGTTATATGGGACAACCCACCTGTTATCCATCTTATTGCCCCGTACGTCCACCTATATACCATTATCTCTCCTTCGGTAAACAGGATATGAGTCCTTTCCTTGTAACGTGGTTTCATTGAATTGTCGAGGGTATCTAAAACGACATTTCTTTTGCTCATTATTCATACAAGGATAGTCAGAGTTTAAGCCACCGCAAGGACCATGGATCATGTGTGAGACGACTAATTCGTGCATTTCAGGATATTTTTTTGGGTCTGGAATTTCAGCATATACTATTTTGTCGTAATGGTCAGCGTTAGTAAGCTTGTATGGAGGTTTCATTATCAGGAGGAAATGTGCATGCGGAAAACCACGTTTTTGAAACTCAATGACATAAACGTATGAACCCACCACGCCGAGGACGTGATTTGTGAAGAGTTGTTTCTTAAGATCCTCTAACTTAGCACGAAAAACTCTTGACACAAGGTCTGGTCGATCTTGAGACGTCTGCCAAGGGAGTAGCTCATTTTTTATTTCCGGCCAGTTTGGATTGCATGTCATTGTAAGGAAGATGTCAGGCTTCCCGTCATCTTGAACTAAAGTCATGGCGTCAAGAAATCTTCGCCGCATGTCACGGGGGCCTCCGATGAAACTTGCAGGCAACACAACACGCTGCCCTATCATATTTGATCGAACCTCACCGGCATTAACACAGTCCACAACACCTTGGTATAAATCTGCTCTTATTTTGGACTGGTTTTTTGTACAAAAATCCAAACGTGAAGTCTCAAGCTTGATGTAGATATCTACTACATCTGCTGTAGTAATCTCCCTCCCATCAAAATTACATTATAATTTGACCGGATTTGAAACTTATAGCAGTAGTACTCTCGCATAGATACAATATTCCGCCCTCTTTTTGTATTAGAGTCTACACAATGTTGATGTCGTGAATAAAAAAAATAATTAATGACATGTACAAAATGTAATGTTTGTTACTTTAAATAAGATTTACAAAGTTATGATATGTGTACCTTCTAAATCATCCCCGATGTGATCATCGTCAGTAATAATATTATTGATGGGAATTCCTTGTCTTGACATATTAGAATGCCATCCCGACTCCAATAAGATTGAATTGTTTTTGGTTTGTCGGATCTGCCATACACGACCTAATGTTTTCATTACCTTCAACCCAAATACCAGCGACCTAATGTTTTTATCATAGAAATAAATTGATTAAACATGGTGTGTAATATGCACACATTTTTATGTCATACATGATATATTTATATTATAATTAGCAAACATAATATTACGGTACCTCGGATGTGGTCGGTCGGTTGTATACCCTCTGGTCAAGTTCTACTGACGCATTCAACGTGACTCTGTAATTATCAAGCGGCCCTAGATCACCAAGTCTTCGAAATACTTGCACGTATGGGTTTGTAGTAAGAATACGAATCAATTTTTCAGCAATTCGTTTGTCAATATTCTTCCATTGTAGTCTATTTGACATCTCATAATCAGCATCATAAAAATACAACTGTACGTATCGAGGTATTCCATCCATTGGGATTAACTGATCGATTCTATGATACATTCCTCCATTCACACAAAAAGTGTATACTCCAGATGTCATGTCGGTCATTGTTTTATCAACATCGACACCCATTGATGCGAATGAAAAGTTTGAGTTGTATGCACGTATCTTTTGTCTAAAGGTCTTGCCTAATTCGTTTCTAGATGTGAAGAGATCGAGTAATTCATCGGGAATAGAAGAATGTGCCAATTTTGTCTTACCATCCATGCAACAAAAGGTAGGGAATTCAAATTGCAATCGTTTTGCTCCACAATGAACACATGCTTTCTGCACCTTCAACACACGATGTTTTTTAGGGACACCATCATAAACAAAGTTATATGGATCGTCCGGAATAGTTCGAATAGATGTTCGCATTGAGTTTCGTTCCTTGCGTCTTTGATAGTCATTTCTGTTCCGAATCGACTTCCTTTGAGCTTCATCTAATACACTTGTAGGGGTTGTATTTGTAATATCAGTTAGGGTCCTTTGTACTACATACACATTCGTCGTATGTGTCACGTTTTGGCTACTTACTTCACCATTAGCTATTCGTCTCATTTTGTTCTTCTCTTTTTGTCGTTCATAATATGTCTTATTATATGCTTTCCTTTTTCTGCAATATGTTGTTTTGGATGAATTATGCGTGAAGATAATGTAATAATATTGTTGCACATCTGAAACATACCTTTTTGTGCATTTAAATCAACTTGGATAGCATCATTAGGCCTATTTTCCTTGTCTACAATCACCATTACAATTGTAAAAACGTAAACAATAATAATATATAATAGTATTAGTTTCATAACAAATTGCAATAAAAAACGATTTTTTTATAAAATACTTATATATTAATCGAGAATTGATTGGGTTGAACTAATTATTTATATGTGAGATTGATCCTTACATTAAATTATATAGTTTTTTTGTTTTCAAGACTCGGAAGTAATGTTTTAATGGTTTTTGGGTATTGACTTACCGTGTCAACTTATATTTTGAATTTTGAATAGTTTTTTTCAGTGTATCGTTCTTTCAGGTTTCAATAGCTTTTTTTTCAATAATTGGATACATTCATTTTGATTGAATTTTATTTATATAATATTTGTAAAATCTATCTGGTAGAATATTTCTTTTAATTAATATACAACAATATCAATATCCTATAAAAAGAAATAACAAAATAAAATAATATAACAAACATTTGTCAAACAAAGAAACTAAAATTTATAAACTTAAAACGTACCAAAAATCCATATCACAAAATCCGCAAACAAATAAATACCAAAAAAACTACAAAAACAAATATAAATCTTAAATCCCTAAAAAACAAATAACTACCATGTACGACGCACACAAATAACCATGGAAAAATTAAATATTTTCACTATCTCTCATTCGAATCCTATCAGCTTCCGGCATTCTTGGATCTAACGTCACATCGGTTAATGCAGTTGAAACCAAAATATTATATGTATGGACATCTATTACATAGTTAATAAGGTCTACTGAAATAATTTATTTAAAGATAATGGAACTATATATAAAGTTGCCCATAGTTAACTTACACAAAATTTTGGTGGACCAACTTGACCCTAGACACATAAATTATTGATTAATTAACAATTGCAAGATACACTTGTATCACAAGGCTCATTGGTACGTGGTTGAACATCAACTTTATTGTATGCCCCCTATTCATTCAAACAAAATTTTGTTAAAACACATAATAATAATAATAATAATAATAATAATAATAATAATAATTGGTTAATACATTTATATAAAATACATTATATTAGCATACTATTAATATTTTTATATATTTACATCTATATATAATCTTACATCTCATTTTGGATAAATAGTTCAAATGCATAGAATGAGTGCATTCGTCTTCCTCATACGATTTTTCCAACGACATCTACAATACACCAAATTTAGTATTATTTAATTTGTCGTATGAAATATATTAAAAAACAAAATATATATAATCAAATATATAAATGTACCTATCAACATTCTTCGATGACTAAAATCTCTTGTGAGGCTTGTGATAGAAGAACACAATGGATAAATTGGAAATGAATTGCCGATATCATTTCCCAAGAGAGTAAAAATTGTGTTACTCTTTATCAATATAGCCCACTCACCAAAGAAAATTTTATAATGTTGATATCTTGGGTGGTCTTCGAAAAAATGATCCATTCGGAAATGATTTAAGGAGATAACGCGTCCAACCAAATTGATGTTCAAAATTGACCTCAAAACCCGTGGGACAATTGCGATCATTTTGTCTCTCTGAGATATGTAATTTAATAACAATAAGGTAATAATAAATAGACCATTAAATAAAATAATGACATATTAATTTTAATGTAGTAATACTTACGTTGCGATCAATCAACCAAATAAGAATTCTCTCATGTTCAACGTCGTCCCACATAAACAAAACTCGAACAGCTAGTATGTTCCACCATACGTGAACGTGTCGTAATGAAGAAAAATCTCGAACAATAGTATGACCATCCATTACTAAAATATTCATGTTAGTATGAAATACAAATATGTATTGTTTTGTATAATTTATTTTAACCATATAAACATTTTTATAAATTATTCTTTTTATGTAATAATTAAAAAAACTTCAATTTTATTATTATATTCCTAAATTATTTTTATGTTTATTTGAAATAAACATTATTATATTTCATCTAATATAAGAATAAAAAAATTCATATCATAGAATACGAATGTGCGGTGTGTATCCCTTAATATATATTTTAATTAATTTTTAATAATAATAGAGGGTATTCTTATATCATGGTCATATCTTCTATCCAAACCCTAAAAATCCGATTCAATCCTTACAGTCGTCATTCGCTCTCCACAAACCCTCTATTACCACTTTACCAGTTCACGGTGGAGAAGGGAAGACCATGTTCGAATCGATTCTTCTCGCACACATTTATCTAAACCCTAGGCGCCATTGTTCCCTCGTATCTGGCAGATGGTTACTCGTCGAAGGCGTGAGTCGCTACCGTCTAGATCTAAACTCCCAATCTGATCTCCTGCCTCTTATTCAGTCAATTTTCCAACAGTTAGACTCCGTTACCAAACTCCCGATGTAGTGTGACCACATATCCGTTAGTATAAATGACGAAAGGGTCAATCCTTAACTCGTTTTGGTGCCCTAACTCAAAGCGCCTCAAGCTCCACAGATGCCGAGTTGACCAGACAAAGAAAGAAACCCAAATGAAAAAAATTTAGGCTCAAGGATCAAAAGCAGTGTCGCTTAGCTTCATCATCATCATCAACAGCAACAACCACAGTATAATCAACTATCTTGCATTGTACCGCCAAAATCTTCTTCAGGTAACGTAATGAGTTGGTGTTTTATCGACTTTCTGTAGTTACTTTTGTGGCTTTTCATATCTGAATACCTCTGAACTTCTTAATTTGCAGAAAACGGTCGGATCCCGTTCCCAATGTCTCCACACACCCTGACTTTGTGTAAGCTCTTCTTATTTGTCTGTTTTTTTACTTAATCGTGGTTACATTCTGATTCCTATGTTTCTGAGTGTTATGCTTAGATTTTGACCATAAGATTGTTGTTAATGAGATTTAGGTTAGGATTCTAGATTAATAGTTCAATGGCGTGTATGGGGAGAGTTTCCTGATAGGATTGATCAGGATGAACCTCCAAGTTATGAACCAATTTGGCCTCAGGTATTACTTTTACTCTCTTCCTTTTGGGGTGTGTTTGGATGCTGGCAGAATCTAATGGTGGTGTTGAACAAACTTTATAGAAATTAAATTTGACATTGATGGTATTTATTAAAACAAGGGATCATATGTATTACTCTAATAGTATATTCAGTGGTCAATAAATAATAACAAAATAAAATATACACACCAATAAATGGGGTTTGTAGGTCAATATTATAGGATGAGTTATAAGAATACATTGTTAGGTCTTTTTTGGATCGTATTTTTAAAGTCAGATGCATAAGCCGAAAGCACTAAATCATAAACCCTTAAACTCTTCACTAAATACTCATTTATCTGTAACTCACCGACTATCAAATAAGTAATTGATTAAGTTCAGCCAAATAAATTGATTGTTTTTCGAAAACAATTGAATTAAAGAATTTGATTTACTATGTAATCTAATTAGTTTTAAAAAAAGTGATAGTAACTATTAAAAGTATGTTGTAATATACAAAAATATAGAAAATTTGTATTTCAAAATTTCTATTATCAAAATTAAAGTATTTATGCGCAATAAAGATTGAAATATTTTTAAACAATTTAAATCAAAAAAATTATAATCTAATCAGAAGTGTGTATATTTTTACACGATGATAAAAAGAGTCTCATGCACCTAATGTTTTGTTTCTAACCTTCATCTTTTAAGTGTGTTATGTTATTTTTAACTCAAAAGAACAATATATGTTTATTTCCAATCCAAAGCAACAATGTACATTTATATGTTTAATTTTAATATGATGCATACTACTTAATTTAGCAAATTACAAAAACAGAAGGCTTAAAAACATGAAAGACATACATGGTTGACTTTGATTAATAAAGGGAAAAACTCTTGATTGCAGCTGAAGAATGAAGAAATATGCACTTTTAATTTTTATAACACTTTAAACCAATAAATAAGAACTTATAAACAAAAACCATAAGAAAATCATACATTTTGCAGGAACAGCAGACGAATGAGAATGTGATGAGACTTCAAAATGGCGCAATATAATCTCTCTCTCTCTCTCTCTCTCTATATATATATATATATATATATATATATATATATATATATATATATATATATATATATTAATTTGGAGGGATAAGAAAACGTCAATGAAACATATCCAACATTTATTTAGTTAGGATAGATAATGTAGAAAGTTTAGGATATGTTTTTTAAATTTGTAATTAGGATAATGTAAATTTTTTAAAATTCATATATTTTCTTTTGTCATATCCATTTTAAAATTTTTGATTTTCAAAATTTATAATTTAATAAATACATATTTGTAAATCTAAAAAATAAAATTTTAAATTATAGTATTATAATTTAATTTTTCCTGTAAGAGCATTGTACTTTGGAAAAACTGAAACTAACATGTTGTAATGAAAATATATATCTATGTAATGGTTGTCCAAATAATCGAATAAAAAAATATATGAATGATCACAAGAAAATACATACTTCCTTTTAGTTAAAATTAAGAAATAGCAACTTACTTAAATTTATGAAAGTAAATATCATATTTTCCATTATTTATCTTTTAATAAATCAGATTTGCATAAATCTATTTTCTTTATATTTTATAATCCTTTTTTATATTTTAAAGTTATTTATCTTAACGTGTCTCTTTTTCTCCCTCGTTATCTTAATTGTTTTTGCGATGTTTTATAATTTTTGTATTGCACTTGTTCAAGATAAGAAAAATGATTTATATTTGTTGTGTTTCTTTGCAAATGAAAATTTCAATTTGTTACATGAGTTTTGATTATGAATGTTTAATATGTTCATTTTGTAAAATAATAATTATTTATGAAAGTAGGATGCTATATTATGAATTAATTGAACATCATTTTCAAAATTTATAGTTACTTTGTATAGATACTTACGATAACATGTATAAATTTGAAAACAGAATTCAATAATAATCAATAAAAACAATGTCAATAAAAATTCAATAATAATCAATAAAAACTACTAAAAATTCCAATATCCAAGTACCTAAAACCATAAACATACCATATTGCTAAAACCAAGACTCATTAGAAATACTAAAAAAAAATACTAACTAAATATATTTATTCCTAGGCTCGTTCAATACCAACATAAAAATGAATTCAAATTCATTTTTATTATTAGACATTACGATTAAACATGCTAATATAAATATTCTTTAAACAGGTTATCCCAATCCTCATCACTATCTGCAACCGGTTGTGGCTGGGTCACACCTACATGTAACTGCAACTCTACTCTGCAAATAACAATTTCAAATGTAATAAATAGACACCTAGATGTTACAAAAAAATAAATGTAGTGTTTAATAAGTACTTTGAATAAAGTAGTAAAAATAAACCAAAATATTAAATAACTTCATTAGAAGTCATAAATAAAATTAAAAAACAGATTAAGTTTTTTGAAAATATGACAAAAAAATTAATATTGCATGAAATAATAACTAACCCGACATAAGGTAAATCGTCACCGACTCTAAAAAACCGGTTTCGGGTCTGAACAGTCAATCTGGGTATTTTGTTTCTTTTTGTAACTGTCGAGTCTGCTGTATCTGATGTGTCCACAGCAGAAGGTGTCAACCCTTCATTCTCGGAACTTACAACATCAATCACCTGGTCCCATTTCTAGTTTTGAAGTGCTCTTTGACGTTTTCTTTGTTTTTCAAGGAGACAACCTTGTATTTTTTCCTCAATTTCATGTTCTTCCTTCTTGTTACATTTGTTAAGTGTCTTCATGATGGCTGTCAAGCAAGATAAAGATTAGTAAACCACAATCAAGAGCATAAAACAAAATCAAAAGACAAAACAATAAATCAAAAAATGAACATACTATACGATTGTTGCAATATCAGACGTGAATAAGATGTTTGGATTTTGGTGGGTCATTGTAGTCTATATATATATATATATATATATATATATATATATATATATATATATATATATAATTTTACAAAGGGATAATATATATCCACTATTTAAATTTTGATTTTTAAAATTTGAAATTATTTTGTAGAGATAAATAAGATCACACAGTTTATTTGATTTTTTAGATAAGATAAGATAGAATATTTGTTGTTTATCTGATTGTTTTTATTATAAATTTTGAAAATACATAATTTACATGCTTATCTGATTGTTTTTATAATCTGATCTGCCCTTTTTCTTAAAGTACCAGATATATATAATCCACAGGGAAAAACGGAATATATAGAAAATATTTTATAATATTAATATTTTGAAGATAAACCTTAAAAATGTTCGACTTTTAAAAAGTACATCATAAAGCAATAACAATTTCAGAGTATATACACATTTATATTCAAATTGCTCTTAAAAAAATCCAAAATGTAATTTCACCCAAAATAAAGCAAACTACAAATACCCAAAATAGCCTCACTCAACTATTTGGTGTTAAACAATATACATATGATATGCGCTTACAAACTTGTCCAAAGTCCAATCTACTTGATATTTGGCACAACACAACATATTTTTGTTTTTCTTAAGACAGATAGCAAAATTGAGCAATTTATCAGGTACTTTAAGAAAAAGGGTAGAAAGGTAATTAGCACCACAAAAATGCTTATCTGATTGTTTTTATAATCTGATCGTTTACAGAAAACGTCCATGTTTTTTCAAAGTTTAAAAAATTGTGTAATATATCATTATTTTAATTCATGTAGAATAAAAATACCTGTAACATGCTATATTTGACAAAGGTAATAAACTGAAAAAAAAAATAAACATAAATGGTCCCTATAAGTGCCATTGTTCTATTACTTTTATGAAGTATTGCTCTATAATTGATTTGTCTGTTTTTTGTTAAATTTAATGTTGATAATAAATTGTGCATAAATTGTAATGACTGACTTTTTAATTATTCTTAAATTATCACAGATGTCCTGTCTGTATAATTTTTTTTTAAATATATTGATTTTTATTTTTTGTCAATCTTGTGATCTTATAAGTCTATTATGTTTTGTTTAATAACACATTATTATTGCCTATTTTGTCTAGATTATTGTAATACTTTTTTGTGTTATTAATTAACAATTTGTGTATGTCTTTTTTGTGTAGTCTTTAGCTTGTGTGACTGTATTACTGCTGTATTATAATCATTCTTGTGGATGAATAGTTTTGAGACGGCGATTTGTAGTATTTGGCACTATCTGAACAGAACAGTAATACATTTTCATTCCTTTTACTCAGATTCAAGTTTCCCACAAACTTTAGAAGGATTTCACACAAAACTTCTTAAATTATATTCACACAGAAACTGGTCCATATTCAATATTTTAAAATAACCAACCATAATAAAGTAGGATGCTACAATAAGTTAACCAAACTATGTTTCTAATTTATATTATTCTATACTATTGTAAAGGTCTTCATCTAATTTCTTATGTTCACCCAAGAGAAAGCCATTGACATCAACGATCTTCCAATGGCCAAAACTCATCCACCACTTCATCTCTTCGTTCATACCTTTCTCATTTGCATACATAATTTCTAGTTGTTCCAGGGGTATATTTGGAATTTTTTTCTTGCATGCAATCTTCTTCATTCATAACTTTATCATTTGCATGTATATTGATTTCCTGTTGTAGGGGTAATTTTGGAATTTCTGTTTGTTTGTCATCTTTATTTGTACCTTTGTCATAAACCTCAACAGATTTGCACTCTTCGCATAACCAATCGTGTTTTGGTACTTCATCTATAATGTTCTTCATACAATATGTGTGTTCAGCGCCATCCATGCATCTACTACATATAGCAAGTAAATGCTCATAGCCTATATCTCCACATATATCACATACAATTACATCTACTACCATTATAGATGCTGCAAAATCTATCAAAGATGAAAAACAAACGAAAGCGTAAGTCCTTTTTTGTATTAAAACTCATGATACAATCTTAAATTGAAGCTTTTTAAGCTAATTTTAATCTAAATTGCTCCTGAAGGGTGCAAATCCAGATGTGGTAAGTGGTAACCTACAATACACACTTATGAAGGATTTGCTAAGGGAAAAGAAGTTCAACAAGGTGAAAAAACAACCATATACTTCATCATCATTAAAATTAATGTCCATTGCTTTACTTTTCTAGTCCTATGAGGTGGGTGAATTCCATGTACCTGTAGTATATGGGGATATGAAGTCTGTTGGATGTTCACCCTGCTAACAAAGCCAGAGACATGTAGGAGGTGTAAATGAGTAGGCATGGTGGTTATAAATTATAAATATCATGCTATTTTTTTTTATTAAAATAGATAAATATCCAGGTGGCTAACATGTTATGTGGTTTTGCAGACAATCAGTCAAACTGGTCCATTCAGAATCCAGGTGACTTGCACTCAATGTGGTGGAAGTGGTAAATATGTCACGGTATGTGATGTGGGTAAATTTGTGGTTTATAAATTATAATAATTCTGCTACTAAAACTAATTTGGACCAGATATATCTTTCTGTTTGCAGGAACTTCAGTTGGATTGTTGGCTGCTTCGGGACCTATAAACACACATACACTCCATTAAAACACACCATCAAAGAGAGAGTTAAAGTGATTTCGGTTATGTATGCATTGTTTTTTTTACATATATACATGTATATATATATATATATATATATATACACCTTTCAGTAGTTTCGGTACCTGTAAACACCAAAAAAACACACATACACACACAACATTAAATAATCTTGAGATAAATTTTGGGTATCGTTGCTTATTGTAGATGTAAACAGAAACACACACTCATGCACCATTGAATAGAATTACTTGAATATGTTTTTCCTCTGTTTTTGATGGTTGTGTCGATTTCTTCAATTTTGGCCACTGAAACGTCCAATGGAATTTTGATAGTGGCTGATTTATGAGATGGGTTCTATATGACGATGAGATTTAGGATTAAGAGGTGGTATTGTTGGCGATATAGGTGCAGATAATGGCGTAACAATTATTCAAATTTGAAGTTGATAAAGTTAAAGGGAGAAATATAGGGATTTTGAGGGGACTAAGTTAACCACCAGTTCAAATTTGAAGTTGATAAAGTACGTTCTTGACTTTTTCAAGACCAGATAAAGTTTACTTAATATGTAATGCATTAAACTGTGTAAATAATGAAATAAGCCTTGTACCTCTTAAAATTCAGCAAAATGTGGTAAATGCTTATTAAGGTATATATATATAGAGAACCATTATTAATCAAGGAACCAAGGAACTAATCAAAAGCATCAGAATTTAAAGCGATCAACGACAAAAGGAAGGGTTGTAAATTTTTATAATGGACGCACATGTACCGGATTATAACAAAATCCACTTCCTTTTTTTCATTTAAATTTTTTTTTAGGCCAAGTTGTTTATCGAAAAAAAAAATCGAATATACCGTTGTTCACGATTTTTCGTCCTCTTTCTATAGAGATCCATGATGGTATATAAAAAACGAACTTTTTTTTTTCGAAAAAAACCCACTTAATTTTCTTAGTTTTTTCAATATTTTAAGTTTATTTTTATCAAAGAAAAACTAATTATACCAAAAATATTAATTTTTTGTACTCTATTAATAAACATCAACACCGACTAAAAAAAAAAAAAAACCTCGAACAGTACAGATTCACACTGTCTAAACTGTAAATATTTCAATTTTTAACATTCACAATATGAAAAATCTCGAACAGTTCAGATTCACATTGTGAATCTGAATTACTATTATACACACTGTGAATCTGAGAAGGTTAAAAAAAAAACCTCGATCAGTGTAGATTCACACTGTGAATCTAAACTGTAAATATTTCAAATTTTAACATTCACAATGTGAAAAAACTTCGATCAGTTTAGATTCACACTGTAAATCTGACTTCTTATTATGCAGACTGTGAATCTAAGGAGGTTCATAATGTGAATCTGAATAGGTTTACAATATGAATCTGAACAGGTTCACAATGTGAATCTAAACTGAAATAAAGTTTTTTTTTTTTTTTTTTAACTTGAATATGAATCTATGTTTAAAAAGTACAAAAAAATATGAATTTTGATATATTTATTAATTTTTTTTCTATAAAAAATAAACCTTAAATTTTTTCATAAAAGAAAATGAAATGAGTTTTTTTCGAAAAAAAAAGTTCGTTTTTTATATATCATCATGAATCTCTATGGAAAGAGAATGAAAAATCGTGAACAACGGTATATTCGGTTTTTTTTTTGGATAAAAAACATGGCCTAAAAAAAATTTTAAACGAAAAAAAGTGGTGAGTTTTTTTTAAAGGGTGGATTTTTTGGTATAATCCGGTGTGTGTGCGTCCAATGTAAAAGTGTACATCTATTTCCTTGGCCGTTGATCGTTATGATTTCCAACGCTCACGATTGGTTCCTTGGTTAATTATGGTTCTCTATTGAACCTCACCTTCTATATATATATATATATATATATATATATATATATATATATATATATATATATATATATATATACTCCACCTTATAAAAGAAATCTCACTATTTCTATAAATAGATTTATTATAATAATATTATTTTTTTAAGACGTTCAAATTATTAAACTAATGATACAAGTAGTCATAAATAAAATAATAATATATTTTAAATCGTACAAAAAATGAAAAACGAAGTACAATTAACCAATGCATATAAACTTTTTGTCTCTACCACGTTTGACCAAGTTAGTCCTGATGTGAGTTGTGAAGAACCTAAGATCCCGGCAAAAATCTTTCGGTTCTTGGGCCCTTTCCCCTATATCCGTTCTTATCCTCCTTCGCAGGATTCATCCCGTTTCTCTTTCTACTAAATGAGTTTTCTTCCTCTCTCAGTAAAAAAAACCTTAAGACCATTCACTATTCATGACCACCGTTTATCTTTAGCATAATTGATGTCGCCTCCCCCCACCTTCGTCTTCTCCATTAACGTCCTCCACGACCCACTCAAGCATTTGTTCCATCGTCTTTGTCGGAACTCCCGAAGCTATCACCTCTGTCGACCGCCACTAGAACTGCTGTCACAGATAAACACACACTTTTCATCGGTTATTTCTTTAATTTATATATACTTTTTACATTTTAATCTTGATTGTCTCTCTACACCTACACCTGAACCAGATCTTACTGAGTTGATTTTTAAAATTTTGAATTTTTGTTGCAGTAGTAGCGGATGAATAACTTTGAAGAGGAATGAGTTCTTGGAAGATACGATGTTGGTAAGAATCATCTTCTCGAACTGTCTCTCTCTATCTCTACAAACATATCTGATGATGTCGAATTGTTAAGCTAAATTGATTCTCCTCCTCCCTGCAACCAAAATGCATCTCTTTTCCTCTCTTCATTCTCATATGGGTTCTTCACCGCTCTCTTGAAATCGTAGCTACACCACACCAAGTTCAAAAGGCACATCAGTCTCACATCCTTCATCTCTTTTTCTTTCCCTCTCACACACGCACACTTAAACCCTAATAATCTTATTTCTTATGAAGATGCTTGAAACTCGAGGGACAGCCCAAGTTGGAGTCGTGGCTCCGTCTCATCTATTCCAAATTCGTAGATATGAACTCTCATCCGAAACAATACACCATTCCCCGTTCTAACATGAAAGGTAAATTTTGGATTTTATAATGCAAAAAATCTATGTTTGTTTATGGTTCTTTTTACTCTGTTTTAAAACTACATCATGTCCACCTCCGTTAATCCTTTATTGAATCAATCTTCACCTTTTAATTAATCATGTATTCAAACACAAATGAGATATGAGAAACCCTAGCCGCTCTGGCATTTCTATGGTCTGAAGACCAACTACAATACGATTCAAAATTGATACTTCATTTTTTGTTTTTTTTTTATTTACCATCCCTTAATGGAAATCTGTTTCAGTTTCAATTTTTTGCAATCCAGAATACGCATACATTTAGGATTCTCGATTGATCAGTTTTGGTTAAGGTTTAGAAGAAAAAGACAGGAACCCAATTGTGCATCTACAATCACAAGGAACACTTAAAGTCTCATGTATTTCTCATTTACACTCAATACAACTAATTTTTTATTTTCATTATCATTTTCCATTGTTTTTTCAAAGGCTGAAGGTTCCAAGCAAGTTATCTTTGGTTGTATATGATTTGATTTTATCTTTCAAGATTTTCTTTTAGGAGATTTGAATAAATGAGTTTATTTTTTTTTCATATTTTTCTGTAGGAGTGCTTATATTTTGTTTTTCATTCAAAACCTTAGGTATATTTTTTGCCCTACACTTATATTGTTTCACATCGACATGGTGTTTTGGGTCGTAAAAGGTCAAAAACCTCACCTTTTTACTTCGATTTTATTTAGACTTTGGTGTGACTTTGAAGATATAACCTAAGGTACCAAACTTTTATAGTTCATATGCATGCTTTATTATTATCTTTTGTTTGAATTTATAAAAAAAATACATTACAATTGAAAGGATTTCGAACTGAACTCTCATGGAGGGTTCAAAATCTGTTGACTATGGTTCACCGGTGACATAACCCTGAATTGGCGGCCTGAACCCCCATTGATCATCAGAACCCGAAGCAGGTAAGCTTTTACATAATCATTTTACATTTAAATCTCGATTATATCTATAAATCCTAACACAATGTTACCGATTTATGAAATTTTTTTATTTTGTTTTTTGTTGCTTTTATTAATACCATTCTTTCTTTCCTCGAAATCAGTAAACTTTGAAGAAGGAGATCTGGGTTTTCTATTGCAGATCCCTAATGTGAGTCTGTCCAAGCACTGAATAATGCCATGCTACGTTTATTCTAAGTGAGGCTACAAATGGGAGGTTGGGTCTAAATCACACTTAATGTGACTGGGATTTGTTGCACCATTTTCTCTCCTCTCAAGTTGCATCAGTAAGCATCTCTATACCTACATGTTTAATGTTTTGTATTAAATTCTTATTGCAGATAAATGAAGATTGTGAAAGTTGTTGGTTGTATTGTTGGACTTCACAATTGAATATATTGAACTTTTATCCTTTTATTCAGAAGTATATTCAGGTACTAAATTGCTTGAACGTATTGTATGTTCTATTTGTTTATATTCACAAGTTTCATAGCTTCTAATTGTCTTTGTTTTTATTTAGTGCTCTGTGAACTTGCTTGCCACAATATCTTTTAGTAGCATTGTGTTTGCAATTGAGAATAATTTTTTTATTTTTTTTATTTTATGTTTTAGTAATGGGTGTTCCTAATATTCTAACCATGCCTTTTTTTTTTTTGTTCCATGTTCGCTTCTTGCAATGTAAAGGTCCTGATAATGTTGCAAAAATAACAAGCATATTAAGTATGCCTTGATTATAGATAACATTATTTCAACTTTTCCAAATGACATATGAATACGGTCATAATTACTAATATGAAGTTGATGAAACATAATGAATTCAATATGAAACATACTGAATTCACATTTAGAGCAAAATTGGGATGACAACATCTCTCTTTCATTTCAAAAAAGGGTATCATAATCAACTATAACATTAAAGGATGAAGTTTTAAAATTCTCAAGATTGTGTCAATTCAACTTTGCTTTCTATCGATCATGTGTTCCTAAAATTGCTAGAAGTGAGGTCTTCCAATCAATTATCTGTACTTTTAATGACTAATTGTTTCATATGATGTGATTTTTTATTTTTTGTTCTTTTGATTTCAGGTTTATATTATTTGTAGAGTTTGTTGTTGTATAATCCAATCCAACAGCTCAGCAAATCTGATCTGACAACTTCAACAGGTCTGTTACATGCTTTTGCTTGCAAATTAGGCTAAAAAATCATCAAGAAGAAGATGATTTATCATGATTCTTTAGGACTGAAAGTCAGCAAATCATCACGATTTTGGATTTTTGGTTGTTACACCCAATGATCCTGATTCAGATGATGATTTAAATTGAAGTAATAAGATTGCGAACTAGGAATCCGCTATTAAAGATATCATTGGGAAGGTAATGAGTTACAAGTGTCTATATCATGAATTCATGATTATTTAGGACTCAAAGCCATTTGTTGGAATAAAGTTTTCTTACTTTGGATACTACCCTGCTTTTTAAATTTATTCTTTATCTCAATTTACTCTTTGGATACTATCATGTGTCAACTTATGAGCCTTTATTCCATTTTTTGGCTGTTTTTGAAATGGATTTTGAGGTATTAAGTTAAGGTATGATTATTTTTATTAAGCAAACTAAAATGTGTATGTGAACGGGGGTTATTATAATTGCAACATGAGAGGATCAGGTTACGAACATTAGATAAATAGAGATATTAGATGGTCCATATTTATTTTAGAGGGATTAGAATGATCTTTTGTTTCAATTTACTTTGTAGTTGTAATTGTAATTTATCTATAGAACATGATATGTTATTAGTTTTTACCTAATGGTTTGCAAGTTCTATTCACGATTTGTACTAAAGCTATTGTCATCATAATCACATTCATTGCATTTGCAGAATTTTTCTCCGTCGTGCTCTTAATAACTTCATCTGATACTCCTATGAAAAGTTATTGGCTACTTACAGACACAAGTTGCACCCAAATTGTATGTAGATGTGTTTGAAATGTAAAATGTGAAAAATTAAGAAATTAATTGCATTTGCAGAATTTTAGCATTGTTATGTTAGGTAACTTAAATAAAGGTTTTAATAGAAAAGTTTATTTTATGCCTAACGGAGTTGTATTGTATTATTAAGGATAAATGGTCGGTATTAAATCAAACGTTTTTATCATATTTTTCATCTAATTGTTATTTCTTGGTGTCAAAAAATTAACCTAACTATAGCTAAAAAATAATATATTATATTAATGGGAGAAAGTGACGGTAAAATTGGTCAAAATAGTTGATAGGCTTGTAGTTTTATTAAAGCAAAAAGATATGTTGTTAAATTCGAAAAATACAAAAGGTTCGGTGATTTTTTCTGTGAAGTATTAAAGAAATTAAAATTGGTTAGTGATGGCTTTGTGGGATTCCCAAATTTGTTTTCCTTTTTAAAAAACAAAATTAATCGATTTTTTTTTGCTCTGATTTTAAATAAAAATTTGTACAAACTTAAAGCAATACTTGGATACAACACAATTAACTTATTGTCAATAAACTATAACTATTTGTATTCAAATTCTATTAAAGAGAATGATCATAGAGTTCTTAATGATGATGTACACCATGCATGCAGATTTAGGACATGTTGATATAAAAACGTGATTCTATTTGAATTTTATGGTCTAAATATATAATATGTTGTTTTTTCAAAATATTATAAAAGAGATGATAAATTCTGAATAAATATTTATAGTTTTGGATTGTAGATGTATGTTATAATACGAACATACAGGCAGAAGTACATATTTCAAATTTCAAGGGTTACAACTATTCATCGTTGTAAAACCGATGGTAACAATATGAGTCTTCCTATAAATATAACATGTTTCCGAATAGAACTAAATGCCAAATGAAACTATTCGTCGCCGTTGCTTTGCGCGGGTAAACGACTAGTATATATATATATATATATATATATATATATATATATATATATATATATATTCGCAATTAACTTGTACTTTTCATCAATATGGATAAATATACAACGTCAAGTAACAAACACGGATGAATCTAACAAGTAGAGGGGTGAGCCCCAAAGTCATTTATTTTTTTTTTTATTATTTTTTTTTTTGTAATAGTCTGAAATTAATAGATTGATTTTAAAGAAAATTACAAAAATGGTCTCTGAGTTATGACATAATAGGCATGTATAATTGCAGTTTCAATAAAATGCACAAACTTTGTGTGTGTTATTTGGATATTATAGGGATGGTTTTTCCGACATTTGTACCCTCTCTTTTTTTCTTTTTCATTTTTTTATATTATGTGATTAATTCCCTAAACTAGATGGACCATTTATGTAACTTGCCCTAACCGTTATTTAAATGAGAGTATGAACAAAGACGGTGGTGGTGTTTTTTCGATCCACATAAACAAAAATGATGTTCATTTGTTTCAGATCTCCTAAAATGGAATGATCCTTGGAGTTCGTGGTGGTGGTGTTTTTCCAATGAAGGCAGTGGAGGCTGGGGAGAAAATAGGAGAAGGTGAGGGTTGGATGGTGGTGGTGTCAACTGTCAATCGATCGAACTTATTATCTAATTATCATTTTGTAGGAATTACCCGTAATAACGAACTTGCAAAACGGTTCTGGATCGAACTTGTTCTTTATCAATGATTTTAGGTTTTTCATCTCTTAAGTTCTTTGTGTTCTTGATTGTTATTTCAAATTTCACTCAACTATGCGCTTATAAAATCGATTGAACATAGTTTTATGTCCTTAATATGTTAATCATTTGTTGTGGGTGGCTTAATATGTCATAAGGAGTTTGATTTTGGAACAAATTTTCTAGAAATCGGTTGTTGATGTTCGTCACTTGTTGCTTATCTGGAAATGAGTTGTTGATCATCTCCATTTTCTTTAATTCTTCTTACAATTCCTAAATTCCATAGCAACAATATTCTAATTGGCTCTATTAATTCTCAGTGTTGGATGCATTGTTTTATGCTAAGGGTCAACGTAAATTTCATCAAACTACAACGAAAACATTAAGGTATATCGTGTATCAAGAGGATATAACTGCTTAAAGGCTTTGAAACGTCTTTGATGATCTTCCTTCCGCTAAGAACATCGCCGTTGCCAGTGGCGGAACTACTAAGGGGCCAGGGGAGGCCATGGCCCCCCAGCTTTTTTGTCTTCTAAGCTATAAGGTATATGAATAAAAATGGTAGAATAAGAAATAAACAACTTACATGTGAAGGTTGTTGACGAAGAAGACTGTGTTTTGTTGCTTTTTTGGTTGAGTTAATGCTAGGAACAAATTCGTTAAAACGATAGAGTCTATGAAAATCATGAATCGATTGCAACCAAATTTTTATATTAGATTTTTATGGAAGAATTGAAGAAAAAAGATGACATTTCTCAAAGTAATCGAGGGAAATTAGGACAAAAAAATCAATCAAGATTTTAAAATATTTGAAATCCTTTAATCAAATGGAAGGAAAGAAAGTTTAAAAAATTTTAAATATCCAAATCAACAATTATGATGAGAACTAAATCCAAGAAAAAGAGATTTAAAAATCTTGATGACAAAACCAATTGTCATAAATCCTCGTTTCAGATTTACACACACGAAGCAAAAGACATTGAATTGTCGCCAATGTGGCTCTCCTATTTGTCACTTATCTCGTCGTTTCCTCCGGATCTAGTTGAGTTTCTATCATCGGATTCCCGTAGAGTCCAGATCAGCCGCCGCTCTCTGCTTGGACTGCGGTTCTCTGCTTCAACCATCGTCTCCGTATTCTTGTTTTGGCCCTAGACTGATTTCAAGTAAATTTCTATTTTTCAAATTTCCCTTTGTGTTTTCTTCTTAGTTAAAGGTAATACGTATCATATCACATTACCTATGTTGTTATGGCTCTAGTGTCTTTTCATTGTCCTTTACTCCTTGAAGGATTAATATTTATATAAATGTAATAGAAAAACTACAAAATGTACCACTGTAAATTATAATGTATTATTCAATTTTAACAAAATTCTATTTTTTAATATATTATTATTAAAACAAGTCATTATTTTTGATGTGGGAATGGATATATTATTTTCTATTTTGTTGTTGTGTAGATTGTTTAAGAAAAACGAGTAGGATTGCGACACCATAATAAGTCTCAATTTCGGCCCCCCTGGTTTGTGTATTTGTGTTCCGCCCCTGGAGACATAGTTCCAATATCTCTCTTGAAGAGGTAACACTTTTGAGTTTTTTTAGAAACTAACCTATCATAGCATTATACTTTGAGAATTTTTTTTTGAATAAAGCTAGCCAATTATAGCATTTGAACTAAATTTTTTATAACACTAAACAACTATGACACTATACGTTGTTTAAAAAAACTACCCAAATATAGCATTGCACATTCAATAAATTTGAAAAATTAATCGGTTCACTTGGACCTACCGATGCTGCAATGATACGAAACCATAGAAATCTTTGCATTCACGATGGGTCCAATAGATTTTAACCCCTTCATATAAAAATTAAATTCTCTCATGGTGGTTCATATCATTCTTATCTTTCACCATGATCAGATTTGAATGCAATAATTAGCATTTTCCATTCATTTTCCATGATATAGCATTTTACATGTAAATCATTGCTTATTATATAGCATTTTACTTTCAAATTATGCACATTAGAAAGTTGGTTCTTTCGAATACTAACATTAATTACAATATTTTACTTTAATTTTAATGTTAAGTATATCATTTTCTTTGATTTTAATATCGGTTATTACTTTTTAACTTTTATTCTAATTACATATAACATTAAAATAAATTTAATTGTACTTTAATGTAATGTCAATCAGTTATTACATCTTACTTTCATTATAATGTGAACTAGGGAAGATTCCCCCTCTTTGTGGGGGTTCGAAGGCATGTATTTATATATTGTTTTGATCATCGAGTGTGTACAATGATGCAGGGTCATACAAATCTGAACACTGTGAGAAGATTTCTAGGCTCTCTCTCACATGATTTTGCAATACTGATTACTTTCCATTTCAAGGCTCCAAATTACTGTTTGCTGAGCTTTGGCTCTTTCAAAAAAAAGGCTCCAAATTACTAATCTATTCAGATGGAATTTTTGTTTCGTAACTTTCAAGTGTTGAGTTTGTGAGTAAAAGAGCATATGTTGTATAAACTGAGGATGATCAGAGCCTTGTTCTTCAATCAACCATTGCAGATATCTGCAAATTTGTAAACAATGTCAAAAAGATCGTAACCAACAATATTTACAAATCAAAAGCAGAAAAGGTCATTACCTTTGAAGGATTTCAATTTTTTTTCGTGTCAATTGTAGAATTTATATCACTTGGTGGAAGTTGGTGACTCTTTTTTCATATGTTAATACTCGAAGTGAGAGCAGTTGGTTAAGATCTGCAATCTAATTTATATAAAATAAAATTTTCTTGAGCAAAAAAAATTGTAAACTTTAATTAAAAAAGAAAAGAGCAACATAAGGACTAAGCCATGTGAAAGTATCGAATCAGTCAAACCTGAAAGAGTCAAAAATAGGATAGCAATGATTATTATTTAATTTCAAAAAGGAGAAACATTTAAACATTTTTTAAACTTCAATAGTTCTTGAAGATGTCAACATTTACTCATTTCTTAAAAAAAAAGATGAAAGAACTTGTAAAAAATTTTGGTTAATAAAAGTCATATATCTGATCCTTTGTGATGCCTATTATTTTTGGAAAGAAAAAAGTTAAAGGTGAAATTAGTAAGTTGCAGGTAGAGCTAAAAATATGTAACCATTTTAATGGTGAAGAAGTGAATACAAACCTGATGCAAAAATTTGTGATTATCCTTCTTTCCCTGAGGGAAAATAAGTAATTCATGAAATGACAAATTAATCCATAATAGAAAAAGATTGA